GTTCAGTGAGAATAGATGTCATCATATTTTAAGAAGATGATCTACTCTTTAGCGCATTTCCGTAAAAATGTGTACACAACATCTCTGACCACTGCAAGCAGGATGGTAACGCTCGTGCTGTGAATACCCAAGTCATCAGTTTATTGCTGAGATCCCCAAATGGGATACGCTATTGAAGGGCAAAGCGATATTTTATCCGCTCCTGTCACTTCTCTGTTGTGAGACATGCAGAATGGAGCGCAAAATGCACTATCTCCTCATATTTGTGTCCCATCAACTCCATTTCTTCTACCCTTCGTACAAGGTACCTCTGCCGATGGGGAGGCTCAGGGCAGGAAGCAGGCAGATAGGGTTTTGGGGATGAGAGTGGTACATCCCTGTGCTTGGAAACTGGGCAAACGTCACCTTGGAGGTCTGGAGGGGTGGATTTCACCGTATTGTGTTCAATGGTCATTTCTGGATCATTAAAAAGATAGTTAGATCCTAAGAAAGACCAGAGCTTTTGGGCCAGCATTGCTGCTAGCCCCGTGGGAGCAGTGACGCTGGCTTCCTACACCTTGTCCCCAAACTGCCAACAGGCTGCCAAGGACCTCAGCTGCTCCAAGGACAGATGGCCAAAGGCACAGTACAGCAGGCCCACAGGGTGAGCCGAGACCCAACGCCATGCTGCCCCTCAGCCACGAAGGTGGTGGCCATGTTGGAGGGAAGCTAAAGAGTTAAGAGAGAAGAGAGGGAGTCCTCAGGGCTTAATCAGAAGCAGAGAGGTTCTCACTTGAAAATACCAATTCAGCTTGATAGCTGCGCTATGTGACACTTCTTATCTGAAGGGGAGAAGCAACTTCTGAAATCAGCCCTTATTGCTGCATTAAATAAAGAGTAAGCAAGCCCAGATTGTGCTGGGGTGCACATGAGGCCCTACACTAATAACACTTCTAACTCTAACCTTGGGGAGGGTTGATGTCTCCAGTTTCATTTATTTATCTCCACAGCAGAGATCAGTGCAAAACAAATTGTCTGAAATCCTCAGAGCAAACGGGAAAAGACGAGAGGTAGATTCATTTTAAGGCCCAGTAGCTTTGTGTCTTCCCCTTTCAATAACACTGATAACCTAGGTGTAAAACATGTAATGCCTTAAGCAATCAATAGCGTTGTTTAAAGCTTATCACTTTAGAGAGAGAGGGAGTGAGCGATTCCCAGCATGAGGAATGCCAGGGCTTAACAATGGGGCTAGGAGGAGAGGTGTCAAGCCTTTGGCTTGATTGTGTGCTTTAGAAATCTGCATGATTGCCTGCAAAGAGTAAAAATAAATAAATAACTAAAAATGCTCCCACAATGATTTCAGCTTCCCCTGCCTCGGAAGCAATAATCACATTTGCACACATCATGGCATACAAGGCAAGTAGAGCTCCTCATTCATTTTGAATGTAGGTTTATTTGCTGAACCAGAACAGCTGAGACAGCTTAAAGTAATAAATATCAGCTGACACCCTCTGCTATTCAGCACAGTAATCCCAGAAACAATACATCACTGCAAAACAACAAACACGCATCCTATCTTCTACCTAATCTGACCACAACCTGAATTCACAGTGATTAAAACTCTGCCTGCTGCCATTCGGGAGCTTGGGAAGGGGAAAGAGAGACCGCTTCAGCACCAGTGCGACGAGGGTCATAAAGCAGAGTTTATGATGGGATTTACCACGGCTGGGAGCCTGGCTGCATCAAGCATCTAACGAGGGCAAAAGAATGACATAGCAAAATGCAAGAGGAAAGGTGAACTCCAAACAGGCTTGAAATACCTAAGTAGGTCACTGAACTTTTAAAGCAGGAATAGATTTTAAAAACTCGCTTCTGGCATGAGTTAATTGACAGGAAAAATCACATTTAATTGTAAATATCTCTCTGCCCAACAATGATAAAGGGGAAATGAATGTGCTCAATTCTATGTGTGGTATCAGAGGAATGTGTAAGACACCTTCCTCATCTTCAGCCACACCGCAGCTACATCTGTAGCTTCTGGTGCAACTTTCTCAGGGGCTGTGTGTTTTGCAGTGTCTCCAAATGCTCTGGAGAACAGCAAATGCAATGGAAAGCACAATAAACTAAAAGGTACATTTGCAGTTTTTCTACCTAAGGTTTGAAGCAGGACGGACGGTCGGTAAGACAGAGAAATCCAGGGAAGCTGCTACAAACACAAAGAGCTGCTATGGGAAGGCACATGGGAAGGAGGAAACAGTGCTTGAAAGAGTTAAGTCCACAAGGAGTCAACTGTTGTCATCCTTTGTCCCTGCACATTCTGTCCCTATATCTGCATGCTTAAAAGATGGCTCTGTGCAGAAAGTACAATCCCTGCAGTAACATTTAGATCTTGATAGATGTCCTTGGGCTGCTTTGTTGAGACACAGAGACATTGGCAGGTACTCTGAGAATAGAGACGGATACAATATTAGTATTCCAGCCTCAAATCAACCCTGGGAAAACTTAGCCAGGGAAAGATTTCAGATCTCTCAGCTTTGCCTCTCTTAGCTCCTTAACAAGCAGCTAGTAAACTTTACCAAAGCAAAGAGAGAGAACTCGAGGGAAGAGGATAACGCTCCTTGCAGAGAAATTCTGCTTGGCACAATCCCACCTTGCTACAGTCCCATATGCTGTCGTGCCACGGGAGTTGTACTCTAACGCCCTTTGGGAAAGGACTGGTAGAGCCTTCCCCCAGAGAAATAAGAAGTCCTGCTTGAGATTAGCCCATTGCTCGCTTATTCTCTGCATTATCAGCTTTGTGGCTATGGGAGTGAAGTAATCTGACTTAAAACACAGCGAACAAGTCCTTTCCACCCCATAAAAAGCCTCCGAATTTCTGCTCCCCTACAAGCCAAGGATCAGGCAAGGCCACAAACTTCTGACCCCTAACGTGACCTTAAGGACAGCAAAGCTTAATCCTTTCATGTAATCCTCTGTCTGCCATAACAAATTGGGTCAGGCAAGTGCAAAATTCTCCATCTCTAGCATTTTTGGTATGCGTTATTTTAACTGTCACTTTCTTCTCCCTCTGCACAGCTAGGACTGTGCCTTCATTATCTGTCATTTCTTTGCACCTGGAGTCATCATGCAGGCTGGCTTTTAAAGGCTCCCGCAAGTGCATTATCCATTGTTTTTCGCCTGGGTGCAAGGTTTTCTTTTGCCCTCTGAGACCTTGTATCCCTGATGCAGCGCTGTAGACTCCCTCTCTACCCTGCTTAAAAATCACAAGACATTGCCCTGTAATCTGGAAACATGGTTACTTTTCCTCAACAAGCAGGGGCTCTGCCTGCCCCAGGAGAGCTGCAGTCATCAAAACTGGTTTTAAATCACATTTAGTAGTAGCCCCAGAATCTTGTTAAGATGTGGAAGATCCCTATCTAGCCTGCCCTGTAAAAGACACTTTTAAGACATAACCTAGCTTTGAGGAGACAACATTGCTGGGGGTTCCTGTTCTGA